CTCAGCTAGCTGAGATAGAGCTGATTCCCATTGCTGCCTCCCGCTGAAGAGCAACAACACTGGGGAGGGCAGGGGGGGACTCTCAAGCAAGGGGCAAAGAGCAGATCTCCCTCTGTGGCCGGCCCAACACAGCCTTGGTGCAGCAGCCGCTTCTCCGGTCCCCCGGCTGGCAGTCGGTCCCCAGGCAGCCAGCGCGACTCCGTGGCCGCTAAACTCAGCCCAGCTGCGGCAGTTGGTTTATTGCTTTCAGCTGGTACTTGAACCCGGGTCTCGGGCTTTGGAGCCATGCCCAGGTTTAATCCCCGGAGCTTTCTCTGCAGCTGTATGACACTCCGCTGACCCTGAATGAGGATAGGAAAATAGAGCCCGTGCCAAGCCAGAGTCTCTTTTTCATTTGGAGCCTGGCGGCCTGCCCATGACCAGGGTTACATAATGGGAAACATAGCTGGGACTCTGGAGAGCCCTCCGCGCCTCACCAGGCTGCCCGGGCCCTCCGTGTCCTGATGCTATAGATCTTCCTAATTGGCGCTGGCCTGCATCTCTCCCCGGCCTGGAAAGGGGCTGCGTTCCACTCCCTCCCGCTCTGCTCTTGGAGGGGGGCGGTGGCACTGCTGACGCCAGGTGTGGGGCACAAGGGAAGCAGGCATTTCCCAGGGCTCCGGAGGGAAGCCTGTGTTTGGGGTAGCAGGCAGGTGAGCCAAGTGGGAGGAGCTCTCCGGCCCCCACTTTGCATCCTCACAGCAGAATCTAAAGACATGGAGTCTGGATGGACCGTCAAGGTTTCTCCCAGCACTGAGCAGCTGCGGAGGTGCACGGAAGATGGCCCCGGCTGCCAAGCTCGGGGGCCACCGAATCCTACCTGGCCTGGTTTCTTTCAAGAAACTGGTTTCTGCTCTAGCCTCAGGCCACGTTGCCTGTGGCATCAAGGCCTCTCACAACCGGTCCCCAAATCCACGCCTCCCGCATTCTGGTGGGAGATGCCTGAAAAGAAAGGCTTGCTCAGAAGGCAGCGATGCTTCTCGTAGCAGGAGTCAGGAGAGCGGAGGGTGCCTTTGCAGCGCCTGGTCTGTCCGTGGCAGGGGCGCAGGGCTTGGCTCCCCCGGGGCCCCGGAAGGAGAGAGCTGCTGGGAAGCGGCCTTCTCCCGGGACAGGCCTCTCTCCTGGGCCAGTGGCTCTGAGACATCACGGGGACCAGGCTGTTGGCCCAGCTGGTTGAGCATTTGGGGAGCCGGGAGCTGGTATGTCGAGGGACCTGGCTAGGGGCCAAGAGACGCCGCTGGGGCACCAGCCACGTTGGTCTGCATGCAACATTCCCTTCCTGGCACCAAGCCGTTGGGTCCTGCTTGTTCCACCCCCAGGTTGGCTTTTGCCATGGGGGGCTCCCGGTCGGGGCCCTAGTGGACCCCTTGGGGTGCTGCTTGTCAGGTGGGGGAGGCACTTTATGGCCCCCAGGCTTTTTCTTCTCTGACCAAGGAAGAGCAAGAGAAAAGCTGGTGGCCAGGCGAGCCAGAGCTTGAGACCAAGTGGAAAAGGAGGGAGCCATAGCCCTGCAGCCTGCTCCCAGGCTCCTGAAGGGGGTGTTCAGCAGGGAGCCTGGCCCCTGGGTCACACCGCCAGCGGGATGAAAGGCGAGGTTCCCAAGGCCAGGCAGGTCCCCGGGCAGACAACCCACGGGCTCTCGTGTCCTGCCTGGGCCTCCTCACCCATCCGCTTCAGGGCCAGGGGGCAGGAGCGCACCCTGAGACAAGGGGGTCTCTCCTTTAACCCTTGCAGTGTCCGAGCCAAGCGTCCCTCCTCCTCTGCGCTGCTCCCCACCATCCAGGCCTTCTCACCCATTGGGAGAAGGGAGCAGCTTGGGCAGGGGTCCCAGGGCCCTCTGGCTTGGGTGTGCAGATGCAGAGTTGGGGTTTGATTTATGGCAGCTGATTCCGCCCCACTCCCAGGACTATCGTGAATGCAAGATGTTTCGTTTCAGCACGATGCTCCCCCACCCGTCCTGCACATTTATTCCAGCAAATAAATGAGTGCAGATTGTCCACCTGGAGCAGCTTTCTGGCGGGGGGGGGCCTGGGTGGGTAGCTTCCCCCCTCCCTTTCCCACCGTGCCCTGGAAAGGTTAGCTCAAAGTCAGCCCCCTTTCCTGCCCCCCCCGCCTTGCAGGGAAAAGGCCCCTCTTGATTTTCCCCCCTTTAACTGGGGCTGAGGAGCCCCCTGCCCTGCCCATCTGAGCCGTCGCCAGCTCCTGTGCCTGTCCCCAGCAGCGCCCTGCAGCTGGAATGGGGCAGTGCTGAGTTTAACAACCTT